GCAACCCACCCCACCCCATCCCCCCCCACCCCACCCCATCCTTCATCCTTAAACCCTCCCCATCTGTCTCTGTGTGTGTGTTCTAAAGTGAACCAAAAAATCAGGTGCGTTGTGTTCCAAAGTGATCTCGCTTTTTGCTAACCCTTCCATGTTTTTGTGTGTTTTGTGTTCCAAAGTGACCCATGTTTTGTGTTCCAAAGCGAACTAAAACCCTGTGTTCCAAAGTGAACTAAAACTTGTGTTCTGAAGTGACCCCGCTTCCCCCAACAACCCCAAACATGAAGGATCCACCAATCCCTGTGCCTTTGGAAGCATTTCTTGCATGGTGCTGAGAGCGGCAGCTTGCAGCCCTGCGCTGTCAATGGCCAGGTGATTATGCGTGAAGAACGCGAGAACCAGAAGCTGCAATCGGAGGTCGAGCAGTTCGAGGACCAAGTTTTTGACTTATCAGACCTATCAAACGGATGACCACTGTCGTTGCAAGTATATAATGGGAGATGGACAGGTCATCAAAAAGTTCTGAGCAGCCGTCATTTACTCAAGCACCACCTGAATGCTTGTGCATTTCAACTTCAACCATTTCCATTTAAACAGTTTGCCGAATATATTATATATATATCCCTAAGAACTTTGAAACCAATCTGTTTGTGTTCATGTTTTTCCACACGTAGGACTATCTCCACCACGGTACGCTGACCCCTCAAGAACTAAGGGCAGCTACCCCTCCAATGTTTGAGGAAGGGATGGATCTGCAAGCCAGCTATTCCCCACATGATCGACTCAGAGGCCTTCGAACGACCTATCGACACTTCTTCTTTTTGTACTTATATATCAGAGATTCGGGTTTGAGCCACGGGCTCCTCCGGAGACTTCAACCGCTTTCGCAGGACTTCCTCCGGAGGGCCAAGGCAGAGGAGACCCGTGCCGAGCAGCGGTTCCGGTCCACGCAGAGGCTCCGCTCCACTCATGGAGGGGAACCACTTCGGCAGACGCACTCACTTGATCCATCTTCCTTCTGGGATTCTGACCAGTGAATTCTGACTACCAGCTGTTCACACCATGAAATTCTTCAGTCGTCTTCATAGGACACACCATTGATGCTTCACACCGGCTTTTGTGTGCGTGACCGGTCCTGGACCAGTCGGACCAGTCGACCCCAGTTCCGACCCCATCTAGGCTCGATGAGCTTCAACGAGACTTGGAGCAGTGACCCGTTTGGAGCAAACGAGGATGACCTGTGGGGAGAAAAGGTCCAGTGAGTCTAGAGATTTCAAGCGATAGTGGAGCAGATGGTACAACCCGAAAAGCATCCAGATTCACGGTGATTGATTCATGAACAAGACAGCAGACATGATAGTGGAATCACTGGTACACCTTCAAAGAGACGACGTTCAGACTGGGATCCAAAGGTTTCTTTGTTCCATCGCGTCTGAAATTCCTGGAGTCGTTCAGGCCACCACCAAGGACTTCCAGGGTGTTTGCGAAACCTTCTGTCTTACCAAAGGGCAGGAACACACATCATGGACCATGGGTATAGCCCTTGACCCAGACATGGAGACACATGGTGGCTTTTCCCTTTGCGTTATGCTGGTTCTTCAGAGCATGCTTCTGTACCCAACCTCACCACGACCAGCTATTCCAGTGTCCGGCTGAGGTACCGGCGCGACATCCACTTCGCAGAGAATCGGCTGGAGGCGACGAACGGTCTCACGAGACCCCGGCGCTGGTGGAAGGTCACCTTGTCGAGTTTGGGAAGAAGGAAGAAGAGGAAGAACAGGAAGAACATGAAAAAGGATCTTGGGAATTGCGTCGGTTTTAAAGTCCCAGTCACTAGCCTAATTTGTGCAGACACTTGGTATTGATTGCTGACATGTGGATCTTCGAAAAGTGTTCCGTTGGCTCTGTGCGATGAGCACAGGCGTTTTGATGCGTTTTGATGCTCTTTGTCTCAAGATTCATCCCCTCCGCAAAAGGTCAAGCGTCCCGCCTTGATCCCTGCCTTTCAGTGATTTCGCCACATCCATTGGAGAACTCACAGCAATCTCCACCAAGTCATACGACTCCCAGAGGAGTTGGAAGAGTTGCAACGCGTGGCAGCTGAAAAGGTGAAGGCGCCCCGGTGCGGCGGTTTTTGCCGCGTGATGCGGCGGTGTGGCCGGGATCAGCGAACAGTAGGGTTGGTAGGGAGGAATCTCCTATCTTGTATTGATGCATCCAATTCCTTTTCATCTAGCCCCTAGTAGCGTCCTTGCTCCTAGTAGCGATGCCAGGAGCCCCCAGTAGCGTCCAATAGTATAGATGAATCTCCTATGTAGTAAATTCCTTTGTAGATGCATTCAATTCTACCAGGGTCACTAATGGGAAGCAACATACTGACATACCCCAGAGGTGGCACATATACAGTAGGTATTTTCTTTCACCAGGTGCTGTCGTTAAAAACCGACCGACAGAACACAACCTCTACTCATCCCATCCCACCGGCCGAAGGGTCGGAACATCCAGCGATTGTTGCTCCGACCTTTGCCGCCGGAGGCAGCAGAGGAGCACCTCACGCAGGTGAAGGAGCAGAAGGAGAGCGGAAGAGTTGAAACCAATTCGAATGAACCGAGGGCCAGGCTGCGATGAAGCCAGATTTGCTTTTTTGTTTGGGGGGGTTTACTCAGTTTACTCCAAAATTGCAGGGTGGTTAGTACCAGATGTTAGCCTGGAAAGGCATGAAGTCCACCTGGAGTCTTAGAGCCGAAGGCCCTAGCTGACGACCTATTTCCCTTGTTTCCGTCAACTCCTTGCGCCACTTCAAGGGCATCAGTGCAGTCTTTTCAGATCTTTTCAGAACTCCAGACTCCACGGGACTTTTCAAAAACATTCGGAGATCTTAGCACCAAGGAACCCTCGCAGACATTCACTGACCATCTATATATTTGTTCCAGGCATGAATGTGTTTCTTTTTTGGACACCTCTTGCCAGCAAGAAAGACCGCATCTTGCGAAAGGCCCCCCCAGTTGCAACCGATGCTGAAATTCAAGCCTCCAAGCTGGATTTGGTGAAACATGCGCACCCTCTTTTTTTAAATAGCTGGCTGGGTTTTTGGATCACATCTGGCCAAACCTGGGATGGCCGGAGCTCACCTCACCAGCAGTGAATGAGCACTAGTCAGAAAGCCTTCACTACTTGGTATATCGTGGGATATGCTCTGCCCAAACCAACCTAGTGTCCCTGGTAGTTTCACTTCTTTTTTACCAAACCCCGCTGAGACGGGGCTGGGTGTCTTTTGGGGTGGAAACTTCCCGACACAAACCCACTTGAGATGCAAGGAGAACTTCGATGAAGCCAGCAAGACTAGCAAAGCAGAGCTTCAGCTGCTGAAGGTGAGGGACCATGGCCACCCCGGCTCCGGGCGCCCCTCAGTAGTCGCCCAAAGGTTGGAGTCTGTTTGAGTTTCACCGGTTGCCATACTGAATATCACTCAGAAATGATGATGCGACTAGTAAGATGTGGATTTTCGGAAGCATGTTACTCTATCTCTGCGGATTGCCTCTCTGCCTGCCTGCGTGCCTGCCTGCCTGCCTGCCTGACTGCTTGCTGGCTGGCTGGCTGGCTTGCTTGCTTGCTTGCTTGCTTGCTTGCTTGCTTGAAACAAGTTCAACAAATCTTCTCTAAGCATATCATAGTCTTGAGTGTGCATAGTCAACTCTCCAAAGTACTACATTATTCTTTTTGTCCCATGGATGCTCTTAGATCATTGCCCAATGGCTTTGAGTTCTGTCGAGCCTCCATGTGCATGGATGACTAGCGTCAGGAACAGGCAGCAGTTTTCTCAGCATGGACGGACATGTGTGTATCGCCAGCCATTCTTTTGTGTTGCAGTTTTTACTGTGCATTTGATCTCGATTTCCTGCTGTGAATGCTGGAAGCCCTTTATACCAAGAAAGACCTGTATACGTACCTATGCATGAATTGAACCAGAACCTATGGGGGGAAGGGCCCTTCCTAGACACTCCACCAAAGACCCAACGAAACTCGACTGACCTGCGAGACCCAAGCGGAAGACGTGAAGAAACGCCTGAAGAAGCAGAACGACAAGGCGACGGCGACGCGTCCGATGCATGGGCTGAAGCGTTTCGTTCCACGTTGGATCTGAAGGTGCTCACGGTTTGGGTTTCGGTTTGGACGGAAAGACACAGGCAACCCGGGTATTCTTTCCTTGGAGCACGACGCATCCAACGACAAAGCAAAGTGGATTGAGCACTGTCGGCCGAATGATCTGGTTACCACGTGCTATTTCCTCCCCCAATCAACAAGGAACTATGGCACATTATGGCACTACGGATGATCCCACCGCGATTGGGACTGCCTGTTTAAAGCTTTTACATGCTTTTGCATTTTTTCACTGTGAATGGCACAGCATGCATCCACACGTCCACAGCCGTCGAAATTGTGAATCATTTGTGGGGCTCCTTATCTTGGAGAATGCTCTGATAGGTGAAGAGCACAGTGGCTACTCAGTTCCTTCTTTGGACCCTACGCAGCAGGTTCTTGTGCGAAATGAACATGCATAAACAATGAGCAATACTCTCTCGCCAAGCCTTTTCGACGAGCGATAGGTGAAGATGCTCTTCAGCATCATCTGCACCATTTTTCACGAGTGCCGTGAGCCACCCAGCAGGCGGAATGGCGGAATCAGAACTGCGAAGGAACCTCAAATTCGGATCCAGGACTCATATGACACGATAAGTGGGAACATACTCATCTGACAGGAGGATTCCACTTCTCCACGTTGATTACCTGGCCCAGACACCTACAACTGGAGATGTGGAGAGCATACTCCTGACCTCTCAGATTCCGACTGTGAATGGATCAATCTGGAGTTGCTTCTCCAGGCTTTTTGGGACCTTGAAAGGTAGCCAATTCCCGTATTCAAATTCCTGATTGCGTTCCTGCCCAGATTCCGGTTTAACCTTGCTTGGGCCCCCCCCGTAACCTGCATGGAGTTTCCGACTTTCAGTGCCTTGGACTGCTGGGTGGTTTGGATCCGACCATTTGGATGTCTCTCCCAGTTTGGTCATGTCACCCTATACGTATCCCTGCATGGAGATCCCTCTGGTCAACCAGCACGGCAACTACCAGACCTGGTGGGATCCTACAGGGCTTGGTGGGGCAGTTTCTCTGTTGCGACTTCAGGGTGATCCTCTTTTTTATGAGGGAATTGAAGTGCTCAACGCCTGAAAAGCGCCGAGGTGAACGTCGAGTGGAGCTGCCGCTCCTGGAAACCGATGCGGACAAGAGTGCCATGGAACGGGTGCGGAAACCCGAGCCGGATCTGAAACCAATTGGTGTGTGGAACACAAGGGACCCCAGGAACCAACCTGAGAAAGCAAATCGACTAAACCAAGTGGATTGTTTCCCACGTATATATATATATATTATTTTGCAATTATTTGTTTTATTACTCTACCTTTATTCTTTTTCCATGGCTACACCAGGGTTGGTCAAAGCAATATACAGCATCAGAGCTTACGAAAGTACATGCTCCTGTCTTTGAGAACTAATCCGTCACACAAGCATATGGAACCTGAAAGGATTGACCCAAAGACAAATGTTTGACTGCCAGATCAAGCATTTCTGATGTCACGTGAGTTTCTTCGATGGTGACAATGAAGTGCATGTTGCTCCACATGCTGGTTGGTGGACTTTGTCCAAAGCTTCTCTTGGTAGAACGATCTTCTGCGAGTCGTCGGGTAACGAGAAAAACAAAGAGGTCAAGACGTCGTCGGTGACGTCGGGGACGTCCTCCTCGTCGGTGACCCTCGTCAGGTGCTTTCAAGAGAGCAAGACATCGAGGACATGGCCATGAAGGACTTGGAGGCTGCAGTGAGGCCGACGGGATCGACATCGGTGGGTGAGCTAGGCAAGCAAGAAACGGCATGGCAACCTGACCTGTGGTCTTGGACCAGAGCATAGTCTAAAGACTAGGGTAGAACATACATTGCAAAGTGATCTTGAATTGAGAACTGTTTGCCAATCGCTGGCAACAGCATGTCATCCAGAATGGCAAGGGGTGTTTTGATTGATGATGAGTCGATACACAGACTGTGCTGAATAATCTTGGGGCACAGAGAGTGTTTGACCATCAACAGTGGGTCTCAAAGAATAATCGCAATCAAATTATCCAGGATTGTTTACCCTGTGCACAATTGTTGCACAATTGTTTGCTGTTCAAATTATTTGACCATCAACAGTATAAGCTCAAGCATGTCTTGTCTATCAATGCCTGAGGAAAGAGCAGACTGGACTGGTGACGGTGTTGTTTTTGGAGAAATCTCGGAAGGAAAGAGATTGGATGGCTCAGGGGAAGAGAGATTGTGATGACTCAGATGGTGTTCTGTTCTCTTCGACTTTGCCGTCCGCTGCGACACCAGCTAGTGACACCGGCCGTTCTTTTTAATTTTAATCTGCAGGAGTGTCCAAATTGATTTCTCCAAGTTGCCCGAAGACAAGAAGGCATTGGTGAAATGGAGTGGATGGAAGAGTGACTTGCACCCAAGTGACGTTGTGCTCTTCTGGACATTTACTTTTGTTTCGGCGGGGAGCTTTCCATGGAAAAAAATAGCGGCGTAGAGGAAAAGCGCACTTGCAGTTGAGAAGCACTTGAGGACAAACTACCTTCAGGAAGGGTGGGATTGGGAAGACAAGGGTGGGTGCTTATGGTTTGTTGCAAGAGCATACTCGGCCGGCTTGTGGGGAGCTGCATCTATAAGAGACCTTGCTGAAGTAGGGATATAATATATACTGTATATATATATACTCTGACTTAATATGTTTTCTGTGGCTATTGCCTGAGAAAGACGATGTTTGTTTTTTCCATCCAAGAGGCATTGATCTCACAATCCTACCCACGTCAAGCTCGCTCTCTCTCTCTCTCGCTCGCTTTCTTCGTTCCTTGGGATCGTTGGACTCGTTCCACCGCGTGGCCAGGAGTTGGCTTTGGAGGACCGGTTGATTGACAGCAAAACCGTGGAGGCGGAGTACGCAGAGCAAGTGGCGGAATTGGCCAGGCGAGTTTCTTTTTTGTTTGTTGGAGGGGTGAGCAGAAGTGGGAGCGTTTTTTTGGGTGTTTTGATGGTTGCTTGTGCTTTTGGGGCTTGGGGGGTCGCTGCATGATTTGGGGCACCAAATGGGGCAGTGAGGAGTCGATAGATCCCAGGAATCCCCGGGGGGTCCCATGGCACATCACTCAGTCGCTCACCAGGCTCGTGATTCACTAGCGCACGTTGGGTGGCTCTCTCTCCTCAAAACAGAACCCGTTGGGTGCCAGGGGAGTTTGTTTGTGCTTGGGCATCCTGGGCTTTATTGGAGCCCCCTTTGTTGGGGGTACAGGACTTAAGTTTAGTCTTGTGCGCTTGGAGGAGTTTGGTCCAACCGGGGTGTCTGTCGAAGATCATCACCGAGTCCCTCGCTCACATGAGCTACGACCAACCTCGCAAATGGATGGGTTTAGAAGGGATTACAAGGAAACCTTCTTTTACTACCCTCAAGATTCCTTTCTTCCCCACCCTTTGGAACCTTTTCTACCCCAAACAGTTTGCTGTTCAGGTTCTATCTTAGAAAACAAAAGAGCTGGCCACACTCGCTGGCCGAGCCACTGAACTCCGTGGCCGGGCTCTGTGGCCTGGCTCTGTATCCGGGTCTTGTCCTCCTCTTGTTCCCCAAACAGTTTACTGTTGGGGTTCTATCATTAAAAAAAGCTGGCCACACTGACTGGCCGCAGAAATGAACTCGGTGGCCAGGCTCTGTGGCCGGGCTCTGTGACCGGGTCTTGTCCTCCTCTTGTCTTCTCTTGTCCTGCTCTTCTCTTGTCTGTCTTGTGGCCGAACAATTAGCGATGTCGATGCCGACCAAAAATCATTGATAACGCAAGTTGCTAGGTAGGGCATACCAAGAAATCGTTTTTGATTTTTGATCATATAATATTAATATTGGTCCCAACGAATTGTTTTGAATCTGTTTGGGGCCTATGCTGGTATAATTCTTAACAAATCCCAACCCGGAGATTGAAGCCAAGTCAATTAATTCGTAGAAGCTGCCATGAAGCAGAAGAATGAGAATCGCAGCTCAGCAGGCGGGGTTGGGGCCTGTCTGAGAGGTGGCGGGTGGCAACATAGTGGAGCGGGTTGCCTCCGCGGTGACCATGAACTCGAAGAATCAAAGGCTACAAAAGCTCAGCAAGTGGGGAAAGGACTTGTCTGAGAGGGGGCAGGGGGGGTAGCATAGAGGAGCCGGCTACCCCCCTTGGTCACCATTCTCATGTACGAGTGCATTTCGGAATTCGAAGTTTGGTTTTAAACTTAATATACTGTAGTTAAGAGATATAAGAAAGCAATTTATTCAAATAATTAGCAATTAGTGGAAGCAACTTACCAAAGATATATTATATAAATACGACCGAGCAAAGCACCACAAACAGATTTTGAAGAACAAGGCTCAGCAGGCGGGGTTGGTGCTCGAATGAGAGGTGGCGGGTGGCAGCAGAGTGGAGCGGGTGGCCTCCTTGGTCACCATGAATAAAAAAAGCAAAGGCTTAGAAAAGCTCAGCAAGTGGAGAGACTTGTCTGAGAGGGGGTGGGAGGTAGTATAGAGGAGCGAGAAACAGCTCACCAAGAGGGGTGGAACCTGGATGAGAGGTGGCGGGGGGTGGCATTGCGGTATGGGTCGCCCCCGCGGCCATCAGGAAGCTCCTTTTTGAATCTGAAGATATTAGTATAAATCTAGATAGTAAAAGAAACACAAACACGTGAAAGCATATGATAGGTTGCGCGCATACTTTTGGGTGCTGGCCCTAACACTCACCCTTCTGGTTCTAGTTCTCATGCAGCTGAGCCTTGCTTGTGCTTGTGAAGTGGCAGCTACTGCATGGGTTTGCCACTGGTTGGACCAGTGGCAGCCCATGCTTGTGCAGCTATCCCTGACCAGGAAAAAGGTGCGCCCGGTGCCGGCGTTGGGTGGGGTCATTAGAACTAGTTGGGTTGAGTGTTGATATGTTTTAGATCATGAAAAATATCATACAATAAAACTCAATTGAAAAAGGCCTAAAAAAAGATGCAGGAGATGCGACGCGCGCTTGCGCGCTGTGTGGGCGCCCGGAGATTCGGACGAGGTACGCGGGCCTTCCTTTTTGGAATCGTGTTCAGAAGGAGTCCTTCAAAGGCAACCAAACCGGAATCTTGTTCCCATGTTGAACGGGTTATTCACCAGGAGCACCAGCATTCAGGGCTGGAAGACTTATAACTTATAGGTACAAATTCCCTTTTCATTTCTTTTGGGACATTGTCGAACTATCCAAAGACATAGATGCTCTTCATCATCAAGGTTTTTGTAGATGAAACAAGGGACACAAAGATGTTCATGTCTATAGTTTTGTTTCTGCAGCAACCCTAAGCCTTGAAGATTTAACAGAGTTTCCCACTCAGACAAAACTGATGAAACCGTGTTATTCGAAGCTACTTGGAAAATCCAATGACCACCACCAGACCCAGAAATCCGTATGATAGGCAACCACGCAAATGAGCCTGAGCTTGTACCTCCGTGAGGTCCTCTCCATCGACGACTAGCGGAGGGCGGGTGCACTTCTGGATCTAGATGTGCCTAGGGCCAATCCACTGAGGCCGTCCTTGCCCGGACGTTAACCGTTAAGCAGTCGTCCGCGCTTTTTGCTGTAAGAGACCTAACCAGGAGTCGAGGAAGGAGAGGCGGAAGCCTCAGAAGAGTTGAAACGCAGCAATGAAATCCTTTAGTTTGTTATACGCAGTTGTTTCTGAGAAAGGGTTTGTAAGAAGCCGTTCTCCGCACGTTCTAACGTGAAAACATGCAGGTTAACATGTTTCCTTGTGCTTGCGCTTGGATCGATATTCATTTTGGTGTTTGTTGGTGACGATAAGCATGGTGAACTATTTTGCACTTAACATACAGACATATATCATAATGATCCTTGAGCAATAGCGTGAACGACAGCCAAACGATAATCCAAAAATCGTACGTCGTCCAGGCAAGGCACGCCTACAAGAGACGCAAAAACATGATGTAATTAACAAGGACGTTGAAAAAATCCATGAACAGAAGACATGAAAAATCTTGAAATTATCAAGAGGCAAAGAGAACAGAGCTGGAAGAATCAGACATGGACAGCTCCAGCTCCACCTTCAGATCTTGTAGCGCAGACGATGCAAACAATAGAAAGCATGAGAGACAGAGTGTATTTCGACTTCTGACGATGATGCGCCACGTGTACTTGTATGGATTGCAGCTAGAATATAGAGACTTTTCAACAAGACTGTTCGAACAGAAATGACCAAGCGAAGGAACTGTCCATTAAGCCGAGCAAGGTGCACCTTGTTGACAGACAGCAGTCACGATTGGAATGGGGTCGAAAAGCTTGAGTTGGTGATATCTGGCCGACACGTAGAAGTTTCGCTTGGTTAGATACATGCTGTTCGAATGCTCATTGGGGCCCACTACACATCAAGGGATGAAAGCTCTAATATTTAAATTTGAAAAGACAAACAATGTGCAATCGAAAAGCGAAGTAAAGGAGGTAAAACACCCGCAGTCGGCCTGGACGCGGGCCGCTCACTTTTGTGGGCGTTACGCCTCCGGTTGGCAAGTGCCTGGAGGGAGCATAGCCCATGGGCTAGTAGGGAAACTTGTGGCCTTTTGCTTCTCCGCTGAGAACGCTTCCTTTGTCTTGAAGTGAATGTCTCCATTGAACCTGTCCGCTTTGCTCATCCAATCACTGCTCATCGGAATCCTTCTTGGCGAGGTCCGTAAGTACCCACTGATCCCACCCCGAGCCAACTGGGGGTTCACCGCGCGCCGGCCTTAGACCATACACTCATCATCTTGCTCGGCGCTGGCTTTACTTCCAAAATTAATTGATATAGACTAATATAAAAATATATTCGAGGTGATGCGAGAGCACGCGCCAGACCAAATGTCGGAACAGGACGAAGGAGGTACCAGGGTAAATGCGTTGAAGCAAATGTTGATTGATAAATGTTACTCTCGCGTCAGACTTCGTCGCAGGATGCAGCGCCCTACCCGCCGGCCAACCGGTACGGCCCCGAGCTCCGCGGGCGCCACGCCCGCGGAGTCGCCCGCCTCGGGGCTCTGAGCGGGCCGCGGAGCAGCGATGTCCGATCCCTAGAAGCCCACAAAAAGCGGACAAAGCAGACACCGTTTTGACCCAGGTGTGCCACACGGTAGTGCGCTGCCGCTGTGAAGTGTGCGCGCAGTTGCTAGCCCCGTCCAGAGAGGCGGTGGAGACGGCGGCGGCGCTGCTCCAGCGCCAGGAGCGCTGGCGGGCCACCCAAGACACGAGCGGTGGAAGGCCAACCAAACAAACCTGTACTGGCAGAGAATCCAGAACGGCAGAGACCTTTGGCATGTAGGACTAAGTGGGAGCACAAGCTCGCCGACGTGGCGTACTACCTGGACCGCGAACCCCTTCGCCTGTCCAGCAGTAGGCTACCTAATGTACAAAGGTTATATTTCAGGACAGATGTTATTTGTGTACAACTCATGTCCAGAAGGCCAGAGATTCAAACCGGCTTTGCAACCCAACCGCGCAAAGCAAATGCAATATTAGCTGGGGCTTTCGCCGACTTCTTCTCTCACATTGACCCGTTATCGTTGCTCCAGTGATGCCCTTGCAGCTAAGCAGAATTTTCTGGCAGCATCCCAGGTTCCGAGGTTCAAGGTTGAAGGCTTCGACGTGGTAGCGCCTCGGGTTCCAAAGAAGCACGCAGGGTTGCAGGTGGAATTGTTCCCCAAACAGTTTGCTGTTTCCGCATTTAGGTTGGTGCATGCTCTATCCTAAGCCTTTTCGCTTGCTCATTTCGTTCATTTTTTGCCGGTTGGTGTCTCATTGTGGTCAGGCATGAGTCCGGGCCTGCGAACGTGCAGCTTGTGGTTCAAAACGGAAAGCAGTTTACTGTTGGGCCGCGCCCCTGAACTCTGTGGCTGGGCTCTGTGGCCGGGTCTTGTTCTCCTCTCCAAGCAGTTTACTGTTGGGGTTCTGTCATAGGAAACCACACTGACTGGCCGCGCCCCTGAACTCTGTGCCTGTGGCCGCGCTCTGTGGCCGGGCTCTGTGACCGGGTCTTGTCCTCCTCTTGTCTTCTCTTGTCCTGCTCTTCTCTTGTCTGTCTTGTGGCCGAACAATTAGCGATGTCGATGCCGTCCAAAAATCATTGATAAAGCAATTTGCTACGTAGGACATACCAAAACATTGGTCCCAAGGAACTGTTTTGAAACTGTTTGGGGCCTGGGGTCTATGCTGGTATAACTTTCACACTTCTAAAACCTTTTCTTTTTCACCCTGCGCCCTGTCTTTTTCACCCTGTAGCATGTTTCTTTCACCCTTCATCTTGCTTGTTTCACCCTTCGCCCTTTCTTTTTCACCCTTGACCATTTCTTTTCAACCCTCCGCCGGTGCAGCAGGTGACCTCTGGAACCTGCACAAAGAACGATGTCACCTCCGGTTTGTTTCACACCGCTTGTTTGCGCCCGCCACCTCGAGAACTTCTTGTTACTAACCCTCCGGAACCCTCCGGAAACTGCGCAGAGACTGTCCGGAACGACGGGGACCGCCGGAAACTGACCCGGACGCCTCCGGAACGTGGAACGTGAGGCAGCACAGCATCCATCCATCCATCCATCCATGCATGCGTGCATGGATGCACATGCGTGCATCCATCAATCAACGGAGTGCCAAACCAGCCGACCAACCAACCAAGCAAAAACGCGGCCATGCCAACAAGCCAACTAAGCAACCAAACCACACAACTCCGTGTTTTCCCCAAGTGCTGGTAGATGCTAGAAATCCCTTGCGGCGGAGGCTTGGTTTGCATTGCGGGGGAGGTGCTGCCCTCCCGCCTTTACTTACACAGCATCCATCCATCCATCCATCCATCCACCCATCCATCCATCTATGCATCCATCAACGGAGTGCCAACCAACCAACCAACCAAGCAAGCAAGCAACCAAGCAACGGCGCGGCCAAACCAACAAAACCACCAAGCAACCAACAAACCGAGCAAGCAAACCGCATAACTCTGTGTTTTCCCGCACCCCCTCCCGCATGTATTTACACTCCATCCATGTGTGCATCCGCCATTATTTACAGAGCATCCATCCTTCTACCCGGATTCTACCCATCAAACAAGCAAGCAAGTCACAGACCAAACAACCAATACCACACAACCCGCCTTTATTTACATTCCATTCAATATGCACCCATGCATGTATCTATCCCCACCCGCCATTATTTGCAGAGTATCCATCCATCCATCCATCCATCCATCCACCCATCAAACAAGCGAGCCACCAACAAACCAAGCAACCAAAACTTCACAACCCTGTGTTTTCCCCAAAGGCAGTCGATACTTGGTTCATTACATCAAGCTAGTCCGCCAACCAACACACCAAGCAAGAGAAGGAGGGTGAAAAAGAAAGGGTAGAGCTTGAAAATCAAGGTTCAGAGGGTGAAAAAGAAGGTTCAGAGGGTGAAAAAGAAAGGTTGAGGGTGGAAAAATCAGGGCGGGGTGAAAAAAAAAGGTTCAAGGTTGACAAAAAGGTTGCAATCAACCCAGTTAAAGGGAATACCCTGTACCCATCACACTGTCACAAAGGGCGGTTGTGGGTGCGTCGAACCGCACGTACTTGCATCTCAGTATCAGGGATTTTCTTACCAGGGTGTGGCCGTAGCTCACATCGTTTCTTTGGCCGACGCTTTCCTCCACCTTACCGAAAAGTTGGCCGTTGGCGGCACGCGAAATCGTCGAGGCGGAAGCAGACAGGTGAAATTAGAGTGCAATGACTTCAATAGAGACACACCCCTCATGAATTGAGGTTTGGTCTTCCCCAATGTTGGTCCTTTCTTTTCAATAGGCACCTATCTTACTTTGCCGGTTGCAACGCTTGGTTTCATCCATTGTTGACTGGTGCTGGGGAGAGATTGTCTTTCACAAGGGCCAGCTGCCTGGTTGTTCTTGGGTGCAAATGTGCATGCTGTGCAAAGCAGTGTGGCCCAGGGAGCTCGAGAAGTTGAATCCCAATATGTGCCGAGCTTGGGAGATGTGTTTGGGAATAATGGGATTTCCGAGGTCCAATGGTTTTCATCGATTGCTCCCTATGACAGTCGAAAGAAGAAATCAACAGACCAGGCCCTGTACAGGCCATCACATTGACCTGAGAGAAATTGGATACCTTAGAAAGAGCTGACGGTCACAGATCTACTTGGGGTGGTTGCAGATCATGCCGAAGAGAACACCACTCCTGCAGGACAAGACCAATTACTAGACCTTCTTTGACAGGAACTGCGCGTCCTTTGGTGTAACCACTAAAATCCTGTGCAAGTTGAACAACCAGCACACGGCATTGAAGATGGCAGCAAGAGACTATTGGAAGGAGCTCTATGGCTGAGACTATCCATGATGGAACGGCCAACATGTTCCAAAATGAAGGCTCCCAGTAATGGACTCCACCGACCTCCCAAAGACGGTTCCACCAGCAACAAACAAGGTCTTAAAATTGAATGCAGTGAGCTCACAATAGTGCTGCGGGGGTTGGGTGGGTGTTGTAGATGATGTTACTGGATTCTAAGGCCAACCTCTTCCAACCTCTTCAGCTTGACACGGGGACATTCGAAGGAATCCTTGCGACAAGCTGGCAGGTGAGACCCTTGCATCCTCCCCCTCACACCCCACCAGTAACACATGGCCAGTCAATTCTGCATTTGCTGTGTGGGTGAACCTTTGAATGATTTCTCAAAAGAAAACGTGGTGACCACCGAGTCCGATTCAGGCGTGCAATGGAGCAGTGTGAAGTGGAAGAGTCCAAACTACAGGAGATCAGGCCTGTGTTGGGGGTTTGTGACGGTTTGTGGCTGGGTTCGTCTTTCGTCTTCGTCCAATCTTGGATCAAGGCGGCCTGCGATTCGGAACTGGGTCGCCTATTGGGATACTTCTTGTCGTTGACACAACTCAGCTGAACGAGATGTTTCGGAAGCTTTAATGATTTGAGTGCTTTAAAGAGCTGAGGACCAAACCATTTGGTTCAGAAACTACTTGCTGTGGGATAAGGGTTGGAAGACAAAGATCACAGGCTTTGTGCAGAACATCGACATTACCAATCCCTTGGTGTGGGAATGTACGTTATCCGGCACTCCATACCTGGAAAATACCTCTCTTGACAGACGAGTTGCTCTCGTGCCTTCCAAAGCACACGAACTTCAGTGAATAAAGTTCAATCACTCATACGCTCCCACATAAGTCTCACTTGGGTAGCAACGGTTACCAGATTTGTAGAGTATTTATCCGCTTCTTCCTGGCCAGCACCTAGGGCACTTCATCACTCCGTCTTGTCTTTTGGATGCCGAACTGGGTCGCACACCGCAGAACTGGATGTTTTGGGGCGCAGTCTCCTTGGCTCGGTCACTCCGTCAGAAATCAAGCCGATGTGGCAAGCCTGGAGAGCCAACGGATCTTGCGGGACTTTGAGCAAGTGAAGGCCGCTTCACCAGCGCGACCGAGCAAGCCGAGGTTTGGCGGGATGGAGGTTTTCACCTGACCTGGCTGTTTCAAGGGCCGTTTAGAAGTCCCTTCAGTGCCCTTCAGTAGCCATAACTACAGGAGAGATCAGGAGAGCATCTTTTTTTCCTTCTCTAACTGAGGAATCACTTCTATGAAGAGGCTGGAGGATAGAGGCCAACCATAAAGATTTCTCATATCCGATCCTCACTGAGCAGAAAAACCCGAACCGAATTCGGTTGTTCTGGTCATGGGTTCCCATCCAACTCCAAGACTTCCATCCACATCCAACACCCTGCGAACGCCACCGCTCGAACGCCGCCGCTCGAACCCGAACACGAGGCAGACCGTGTGTCGCGCTTCATGAAATGTTTCAGACACATTGAGGCACGCTTATATGATCGGGCTGAGAGTTTGGTTGTGGTGAGAGGGGAGTTAGCTACCGGATTTTTTCAGATCTGGAGGAGAGGCGGAAGATGGGAACACCTTTTTCTTTCCTGTGTCTAGTCTTTGAACCCCAGCATTTTGTTGAGATTCTAGGGCAACTGCTTCTGTCACTGTCGCTTTCCTCATTCCGGTTCCGGGTTCCAAGATCTTCTGAGGGGCGTTTTGGGAGGTTCTCCGCATTTTGCCGACATGTCAATTGGACCCTAGTGGAAACTACTGCTTGCTGACTACTTCGCTGGAATTTCGCGTCAACTCTGGGCACCTGAATTCAGCATTTGGAGTATATATATACAGTATACAGTATACAGTACATCAGAGATTTCTACACTTGCAACTTTGCTCTTTAAATCCTCAGTCCTCCAAAAAGTTGATGCAGCGTAGATTTGGGGAGCCCTGCGTCCTGCAACTTGGGAGCTTGTCCCTGCGAGCTCCCAACCTATCCCAAAAAAATCAGGAGAGGATCAATCCCTACTATCGCGAGTTGACCTCCTACGACGGCTACACTGGTGGCTCCGCCCGGAGCCTCGACTCTGGAGTTTTGTGGAACATTGAGGCCAAAAAACAAGGTGGTCGGTGCTGTCCTTGGAGAATCTCGTCATGGCAGATGCAGGGTTTTGGAACCAGCCAGTCAACGCTTGCTTCCTTCCTGTGCCAACAACCTGTCAGGCCTACTTGGACCTAGATGACGCGGAGGATGGGCTCAGATGTCGCGGCCTTCCCCCCAAAATGCTTTTCCAGGTGAACGAGCAAAGTGGATACCCTGAAGTGTTTTCTTTCATTGTCCAAATACGGGTCTTGCTGAGGACTGTGACTAGACAAACGTTCTCCCGGTGCCCTAGGCCCGATTTTTGTTTGAGCCGTAGTCCTTTCTCTAGAGATTGCCACCAAGCAGCCACACTATAGTCCAGTGGCTAGAGGAGTTTCTGTCTTTACCCCCTCAGAAGAACCGCATGTTTGAAACCATCTAAAGACGAATGCGATTGAACCCGCTAAAAACCAAGAGGTGGAAAAAGGTTAACCTTTTATTTTTCAGGCAAACTGAGGGGATCAGACTACAGGAGTCTCGCCATTGCAGCATTTAAGGGAATGGCCAGCCGAAAGTCTTGGTGTTTGCAGGGGTGGCCCCGCCTCTCATGGTCGCGCCTTTGTGTGCGGCTTGCGTGCGCTTTTATTTGCAGTTCTCTAGTGTTGTATCAGGGGCTGCTTCCAAATGGTGCCCTGAAGCACTATGTACATGCCATTGTGCGTGCTCGCTGTATAACAGCTGCCGTGATGGCACCGCGCGAAGCACGTATTTCAAGAGGCTTGCTTGTGGAAGGCCCTCGTAGTGGTATCGCAGACGGCCCGTGGTGATCGGGATGCTCCCATCGCTAGCGGCAATGTTCAACTTGGCTCCGACCCGCCAAGGTCGGACCCGTCGGTCCGCTTTCCCCCAAAGGAAGCAGGGCCATCGTCTGAAAGCTATCGCCTAGCAGCCTTTTTGCATCTTTTTGCTCCGCTTTGGGAACTCCAACCACCACAGTGGCAACATGTTTAGTGCAACACAGCAACCTTCCCCAAGGACGAGGACAACCAACTCCACAACAGTGATTCCTCTTTCCCTGTGACCCGACGAGGAACCATACAATGGAGGCATTACCTTTACGGCATGTCCACCAGGGAAGAGGCTGGGTGTTGAGTGTGGTAGGTTTAACATGGAAGCTGTGGCTGTATGCTCAACATATCCTCAGGACGACTTCCAAGTGGGTGGCTTGTGGGTAGCTGCAACTTGAAACTTTCTGGCTCGGTTGACTGTGTTCTTGAAATTAACCACCCGACTTGAGAAGAACGACTCCCTAAGGCCTGGTTGTTCTGTTGCACTTGGGACTGGCATGACCAAAGCTGTTGTGTTTTGGATGTGCCAACTGTGAGAGCATATTTTGTCTCAGTGTGGCCAAGACCCTGGAGAACAAGATATGACACATTGACGATAGCCTAAGTTGGCAAAAATACCACTTCCAACTCCCAAATCGCACATTGCGGTAGATCCATGCACTGTACATCCTGCACCACCCAACAACAGAACCGCTCAACAAAAGGGCGACGAATTCGAAAAAGGATGAAAAAGGCGCCTCACCTACCACCCAACGGCGAGACCTTGCACTTCCAACGGAGCTACTAGTAACAAGTGCCACGCTACTAGAAACAAGTGCCTTACTAGTAGTAACAAGAAGAATTTAGTTAGAATTATAATTACTAGCAAAGGAATGAGCGACCGTCGTTTGGAGGTTCTTTCCCATGGAACTCCTGTCGGGCGGTGAGCGCTCGTGGGGGCTCCAAGCGGCGTCGAAAAGGAACCCGATCTGCGGAGCACACTGCAATTGGTCGAGGACTTGAAACACATGTAGCAGGAAAATTGTGGTGTTGCTGACGGACTTTGGGATGAATGGAATGAACTGAGAATTCCACAAGTACTGGTACTGTGTTGATAACTGTCAGGTACGGATTGTTAGTTTAAGGGTTATCTAAAATGAGTCTTAAATAACATGGATGACATGGATGAACTCTTTGCACAGTCAAATTAGCCAGTTGCGACAGAAAATTTAAAATGGCATTCTTTTTGCTCTTTTTAACTAAAATGATAATAGGTCTTCAAGTCTTACCCTTTCCTGTCCAACCTCAGCTCCTTTCTTTAAAAGTCATGTGATGTGTATTTCCGATACAAGATACAGCAGCTCTTTGTTGAAGAAACACTGAAAGCTAACAGAGACCAGCTAGTAGAAATGAAACACGTTTCGTCCAACCCCAGCTGTGTTTCTGCAGAGTAACCTTAGACTCTGTGTAAACTCTCATACACACACATCAGTTCCTTCAAGAAAAGGCGGGTCTGGTTGTCTCGGCACTGGTGCCCCAATTCTTTTCGTGCTTACTTTTGTTGAGTTCAACATTACCTGTTTCGGGTAGAAAGACCCCACAGAATATGTGTTTTTGATGGAAAAAAGACTCATAACATGGACACACTCTGACATTGGTTTGCAGTTAACTCTATTCCCAGGAAAAATGGCGATGGAACCGAAAGGTGAAAGAGTCGGAGCACTAGCACTTTACCAAAGCTAAGGAAACCTGTTTTGGGGGATATCGTGCGAACAACCACCATGGAAACAACAAAAGGAAAAATGGAGTCACAGCGTGTGCAAAAGCAGGTACAGAAGTTTGCGTCCAAACTTCCATCCAGTCGATTTCCCTAGCTTCGTTGGCGTGACATGGCGTGACTAGGAAATCGACCGTCACGCCCCCTGCGACTTAAAAGTTGAGAAAAACAGAAACTCTTAGTTACAGAGGTGGACACACACACAGAACGTCGATATCGGCGCTCTGGGGGAACTTACTAATCACCTAAAAAGCCTTAGAACGAAAGGAAAGAAAGACAGAAAGGAAAACGCAAAGGAAAGAGAGAAAGATAGGTGTAGTGACAAGGCCCACTACGAAACCTGCTAGTTACGGGCTACTTAGCCGAATGAATGAAATGCAGTAGTTAGCGAGCGGGACATACGTCTTAAACCGCCCGGGTAGCTAGGAGTAGAAAAGGAGAAACAGAAGGAAAGGTACCGACGCACAAGTGTGTCGAGTACCATTTCCTTCTGTTACCCTAGATAGCAGGTGGGATAGAAACACGACTTAGGTTGCAAGGTGGGGGGGGCGTGTGGAAGTGCAAGTGTGGACAGTAGCTTCACTGGTCTCAGTTCCTCACATGGAAATGCAGCACATGGAAATGCAAGTGGAGGTATTTCGTAAGCCCGACGGCATTAAATTCAGTAAATCCAGTAGTGAAACTAAAGCGGTTAAGAAAATACAAAGAGAGGTGGAGAACGGTGGAGCCAGTTACAAAACAGCGCCTCCTTGCGGAAGATCACACCCAGCGCCCAAGTGGGACGACTGAACGAGTCACACTCTGACATTGGTTTGCAGTTAACTCAATTCCCAGGAAAAATGGCGATGGAACCGAAAGGTGAAAGAGTCGGAGCACTTGAACGTGTTTTAACAAAGGAGTTGTTCACTTGACTGCGGAAGCTAGTTACTGCATTAGCCCTTTACTGCAAGAACGGTAAGATGCAAGGGTCCGAAGAACAGAACTGTTTAACAAACGCACTAGCACTTTACCAAAGCTAAGGAAACCTGTTTTGGGGGATATCATGCGAACAACCACCATGGAAACAACAAAAGGAAAAGTGGAGTCACAGCGTGTGCAAAAGTTTCCATCCGCGCAGGTACAGAAGTTTGCGTCCAAACTTCCATCCAGTCAATTTCCCTAGCTTCGTTGGCGTGACTAGGAAATCGACCATCACGCCCCCTGCGACTTAAAAGTTGAGAAAAACAGAAACTCTTAGTTACAGAGGTGGACACACACACAAAGCATCCTAGACTCATTCATGGTTCCCTCCCGAGATCTCCAGATTTTCTGGCAGGATGGCCTCTATGGCCTTGCTTTTCGCCATGCATTCGTCCGGGGCCTCTGGGCTACAGTCTCCGTCAGACCTGTTGGCCTTGATATTCGACCCATTTTGTCCCGAATCGAAAGAGCAGTGGAACGGTGAAAGTCCTCCATGGAGAGTTTTTGGGGGTTTGCTCGCTTCAAAAGATGACTATGTCGCAAACATGGGGAGGTTAGGTTTGCGATGTGGACATGGGGAACTCACTAGACTGATAGGGGGCCTCACACGAATTTACTCATGGGATCCCATATTTGAGTTGGGAACGGCCAATTATGCAATGTATATAATCTCTATCATTGCACACATGCACACACGCACACATGAACCAAAAATGCACTTTTCCAATGGTTCCGGCCAAAGGTTTGTCCATGTCTTTAGTAAAGTCACTTCCACGTTGTCAAGCTAAGGGTATCATTGGATCTGATCTCATCCCGTCATGACCCAGATTCAGAACCACGGGTGCCGGTTTCATACAGAATGTGCACAAAGCGGATTAGCCAATTCAGGATGATGGAGAACTCATTGCTGCAACATGCTGTAATTTTTCTTTGCCTTCTCGCAAACTCACGATACACAGTGAACCAGCGCTTGCTGAGATTTCACTCGCGCCGATGTTACCCTAAATCCGACATGTTTTGTTTTTTGGACATCTGGATTGCTAATTTAGAATTCTGTTGATCAGATCCTTCTTGAACCTGTAGAATCGCGAATCTTGTTGCTACTCGGTGGAAGGAATTTCCTTTGATTCTGCATGGTCCCAGTCATCTGTGAAATGGATGGACAGTCATGTGTTTGGCTGGAACCCTCAGAGAAGTAACGCATTTTTTAGATATCCTGAAACAATGAGTCTGAGGACACCACCATTTTATGATGCAACATTTGTATTGACATAAAGCCTTGTTGTGTTCCATTGATATCATTCTTGTTCTATACTCTTCTTAGGATTAGATAACTATATAAATGTAAGATATACTGTAAGCTCTTCGTTGTGTTCTCCTTTCCGAAGCAACACACCGAAAGACCACCAGGTTTCAGCCGCCTCCCTTCATGATCTTAGATGAAGTGGATGCACCGCTGGGCCCTCGGCGCCTCATGACAGTAGACGGTAAGACGCTTCTTCAAACGCTGGCTGTGGCACTCATGACTTTATAAGGGAGACTTTTGGGGGGTTCTGTCTTGTATGAGGTTCAAAAATCACTGGAACAAAGCAACTGCCAAGTGTGAAATACTGCAAAAGAAGCTGAGGTTTGATAGGAAGAACACCAGCTCCTTGGTGAACTATTTGAAAAAGATGAAGTTCCAGTGCGTGGTGATCTCCTTGAAGGCCAGCCCAGCTACAGGCTGCAGGCTGCAGGTGAAGTTTTCAGAACTTCCTGTCTGGCTTTGGAACCGGATGACCCAGGCGATTCTCCTCATCCAGTACCTCCTCCCTCCCCTGAGTCCAGTTCAAACCCACGGAGGGAGTTTGGAAGTTGATCTTGAGAATGCGATTTGGAGAGAACCGTTTGTGTTTGGCAGAGTTTTGTGGGATGTTGTAGGTACGAGTGAATCAGGTAAGAGCAGAACAAAGATCCTTTGTTTCATGGATGATCCAAGTTCGCCCAGAGCAGCCAGGACACCTTCTTCGCACACAGCGACTCGATTATCGGTGTTTTCAAGGACAGGGATAGATTGGCGCCTTGGATGCTGAAGCCACAGATTGACAGACTGTCTTCTGCGTACTGGTTTTCTGAGCGGTTTGTGACATTGAGCGACAAGGCCATAACATACTCCATATGCTGACCAAGGAGCTTTGGCTTCACTGGACCCCTACGCCTCTTATACCCTAACGCCTTTCAAGATTGAGACGGCCTTTTCTGGGGCTCAGCCGAGTTTTTTGAGGGGTTGGCGGTTGGCGGAGCGCGCTACCGGCTCGCAGCCTCACCGCCTTCCAGCGAAGCTCGGCCGGATCTGCGCAGGATCGATCGGCCCAAACTTCGGGCAATGTGAGCCTCCCTTTGCAACGGCTGGGCTGGGGCGGCCTAGTTTCCTTGAGTCTGGAGGATTTCCAAGGCTTGCTGTTTGTTTTCGTATTTTTTTTGGTGTCCTTTGCCATGAGGGGAGGAGCTGATTCCCAAAAGGTCAAACGACCGCAGATGGGCATTAAGGATGGTAGTGAGAATATTTGTGAGAAATATGAATGACAGTAAGGACCATTGTATGCCCTCCCTCCAACAATCATGGAAGCTGACCAGGCCTAGGTTCCATTTCCATGATTGTTTCAGGGAGTGCAATGTTTGTACGGACCTTCCTTTCAGCTCATTTCATTTGATCTAATCACCAAGGACCCAGTTCTGACCAGGCAATGCTCATCCAAGCCGCTCAGTGTTTGTTCTTCCGTTTTGAAGGAGCGTTTTTCTTGATCGACACCAAGGCAAGCTGGCCGAAGAGGGCGAGGCGGCCGACGCGCGAGCTGTGGCTCGGGCGGGAGCTTTCGGGGAGGTTCCAAAACGTTTCTTGGATGTTGGAGGGAAGAACGAAAGGAAAGCAGTGCCCAGAACGTTTGGGGAAGAATGTGCTTTGGATGTTTTGATTTTGGCGCAAGTGTAAAACGAGAACGCCTTGGAACACTTTCTTTATTGGTGGGCGCGGCCGAAAAAGAACCACTAAGAGAATCCACATCATCCACCGAAAGTGTGCAACTTTCACTGGGATCCCGGCCGCCAAGCTTCGCAAGCTGGTGACCAACAAGAGTCAGGGTGGTCCCCAAACGTGATTCAGGTGGATGAACCTCCGAATAAGGGTCTTACCCAGAAGTTGTGTGCAGGGGCCAGACTGATAGTGGATTTCCTGAATTGAGATGCCCGCATTTGAGGTGCCACTCACGGTTGACTGAACGCCTTGCGAGCAGTGCGGGGGCGGGGGGGCGATTTGCCTGGAGGCTGGATCATGCCTGGCATTCAGAGCCTGAACCGCTTGGCTCAATCCACTTGTGCTCCTGCCCGATCAGGATTGCACTTCTTGCAGCAAGGGATACAAGTCATGAAAGCTCTTCTTGGATCTGAAGTTGTACCCTGGCTAGGACTCATCATCGAAACCAGTCTATAGATAGCTCAGGACTTGCGTGTCTGCAGGTTTGAAGCTTTTGTGGACAGGTCAAGGCAAGAGTCTTTCTAGTCTTGGAACATTTACTCATCTTCAGGTGTAGTCGGCGTAGTCCATGACAGCTTTTCTGTATACTGACTCACTCACATGGAGTTGGAAAATTGCCCTTGGAAGACCACTTTCCTTGACAGCCAGAGGTTTTTTGACTTCCACGTGAGTGAGTCGGAGTGTAGTCCATTACCCATAGGGAAGTGGAAAATGAAGGAACATGGTCCCTGCGAAATCGCTCTCGAGTAGGTCCTAGGTTGTATAGACTAATAGACCGGCCTGTTTGGTCTCTCTATGCGCTGGTCCTGGCGCCCAGGCACCCCGTGCCCCGCAGGCGTCCCTTCGGCCAGGACATTGCATGGCAATTCGACGCCAACAGATGTGGTGCTGCAAAGGGCGTCGCAACCTGGGGAAATCAGTGGAACCAGGAGTCGCATGTTGCCTCCAAGAACGCTATATTCAGATATAGCACGGGTAGAGACCCATGACCCCGTGACTGACCCCTAATTAGAAGTGTTGGAGCTGATGCGTTCCATCTAATTGTCGGTTAACGTTGGACTGGGAGACCAGCTTCCCTCCATTGCTGCGACAGCCCCATTTCGGACAGGGTTTTGACGGTTTTGACCCAAAGGTCGTGCAACAGATGGAATGCAGATGGAATGCAGATGGATCGGGAGCAACTGCTGGGAGATGCTGGGAGCAACTGATTGAATGGCTCGCGACTGGTGGGCTCCTGGTTCCGGGGAGCCATCCAGGCGGACCGAACATCCTCCATGGGGGGGTGCAAGCGTGGACACAAAAGGAGTGCCGTTGCGTGGTGTTTTTGAGTTGTCGAATGTGGCCCTGGGGAATCAGGTAACAGAAATGGCTTGGTCTTCCCAGGTATGAAAACCGTTTGGGCGTTTCTATGCATTTCTCATGTCTTGATGTAGTCACTCCTTTCTGAGCTTTACAGAGAGATGACATGCAGACAAGTCAATCACGGTCCATCTCTTCCTTATAAGCTTCAGCTCCAAGACGACTCAAGCAGTCGTCAGCGGATCAGGATCACCAACGGCCAAACACAGATCCTCAGCTGGCAACCAGCAAAACAGAACTCCACCCCGATCCTCAGCTGGCCGTCCAATGATTTTCTTAAACTTCTATTCTACATAAGTAGGATGAAAGGCCATGCAGTCAGTCCATCATCATGTCGATCTACCTCCTGAATCCTGAAGCAAGCATGTTTATAGCTTGCCTGGTAGTATGTGCTTGGGAGACCTTTGCCAGCTTCTGTGTTTGCTGGAGCGACGTATGACGTATGGGAGATGTTCCAGGGGAGACGATCGAGACCTTCGCATCGGTCTCCGGTCCATCCGTCTTCGGTACATTCTCCCAAGAAGTCGATGTGGCCGGTCTCCCCAGAAGGAGAGACAGATGCGAAGGTCCATCTTTTTGCAGAGACAGGACAACAAACAGGTCTGCAGGATTGGGGCGAGAAACTCGCTGCGCCAAAAGGAATACAGCACAACAGAATGCATGAATGAATAGATGTCGTTGCGCTGACTAGTAGGCAGAACATCAACGGAGTCCTTGCGCAAAACATATGGGATTTTCATGATTGTGTTTTGAAATACCTTCTTCCAACGACCTGCGAATTGATTGAATTGACATCATTGTTTTCCTATTCAGCTCGGGCTATGGGCAGCGCGAAGGCCGAGGGGCTGGGCTGTCTGATTTATGGGCAAAGGTGGAGGTGGATATACAGCCTCAAAACTATTACAGCATCCGCCCGGAACGCAGAGTGATTTCCAATCCTCCTCAAAGGCGGTTTTTTGGATGTTGAAACAGATGAAGCAAGACTTTCTATACACAAAGCATCATCGCAAGATCCTTACCACATGGCATTGAATCATATGAAGTCATATGACACGTTTCAAGATTTAGGATGCGTGGTCAGTTGGTCACCCTGACCTTCATCCAGCTGTGGCCTTTGTTTGTACAATGTTGGCGGTTTCTGGCGGTTTGCAATATCGACTTGTGGGCCCTCAACAAAAGCTTTTAGTGAAAACTCTCCAACATTATCAGGCAGCCCAAGGAATGAATAGCCACTCATTTTCACATGTAACCCTTGGGAGCTGCCACCACGGATCCTCCCAACCAATGCTTCCACTTTGCTACCAGGACTTCCATATTTTAAAAACGCAAGATGTCAATCGGTCAGTTAGTTAAAATTATCAGTCCGTCAAAAATGCTCACTGGACTCGATCGTGCTTCCGACACTACTCGTGGCTCCTAATGTACGTGTCACTTTGCTAATTATCGTGTGTGTGCCACAGGGTACTGTACGGTTTTCAGTTCTGAACACACTTCACTTTGTAGCGTGACCCACAATTTTCTTGTAGTTTCTGGGCTATTTTGCTACCAACAACAGGTGATACATGACTTACCTTCACCCACCCACTCCGGCAAGGGGGGCTAAAGGGGGATAAACAAGTCCAAGTGTGTTTGTGTGTGTTTCTGTGACTGCGATGTTCAACAATAGGTATACGGTAAACATCAGAAGCAACCGCCAATACTTGGGATATCCTGGGATGAGCCATTTAGAGCGGCTGTGAATTGAAGGAACCTGGCTAAAACCTGCAAAAGCTCCTGAAGAGAACCATGTCGCTAATTATGTTGAAAGTGTGGCTGGGGCCTGACAAAGTGAAAAGAGCATGAACAAGCGATAGGCCGATAGGTCCCCTCCCAACAGCGAGGACCTTGTTGAATCATGTCCTCTTCGTTAAGAAGAGGTGAGTTGAAGAGGTCTCGTTGTTGAGCACCGACTGCACATCATCGAGGCAATCAGCAAGCAGTCATGGTTTACACGAGACTGGTCGGATAACCAGCTTCGGGATTGATGCTTCAATATGACTATACAATATATAAATATATATATATATAAATCTATATGACTTGCTGGCTTGGAAAATAACCCCGTACTACTACAATGGGTTCAGAGTTCAAAAGTCGATGGCACCATCAAGAGTGGTCTATGGGTTTACAATCTACTCTGAACTGCCTGCATGCTCATACTAATGAAGCTCACAGATGTCTATATAAACAGGTATGTGGCCCAAGCTGGCCAAGCTTGGGTCGCTGCTGGCCCATGTGGCATCATGAACCACAAACTTGGCACCGTGGCACTGTTGCTTTGCTCTCATCATCTGTGGCGACCAGACTCGGTCGACTCGGTTGCTCAAATCGGGTGACTCGCCGCGCGGACGTCAGGTGCGTATATCACGTCTCGCCTTCCTTGTGGCAGGTGCAGTTGCGAGCCCTCCTTGAGAAACTGCAGGAGAATGGCGATATCCAGCTGAACCAGGCGGGGCGGCGCACCGTGCCGAGCGCCACGGGACCTGGATGCTGTGTGACTGGAGGAAAGCGGCTGATATTGAGATCATCAACTGACGGGTGAAGAGGACTGTACGTTTGGAGTTTCATGTAGTTTCCAAACAATGCCACTTTGTTCGCAAAGTGCCAGTATGTTTTACGCAAGATGGCTCTTTATCCCTGCCCCCGCCAAAATGTCCGCTGTGAGTTGAGCCTCCCTCTTCTGAAGATCCCCCGCCCCCCCAAAAAGAAAGAGCATGAAAGAGTGCAGCCTTGGCCCTACAATGGGGTACATCACACGAATAGCCCCGGATTCCCAGACACACTCCTTTGTCTCAAAGATTTCTCTGTCACTTGACAGGCGCCGGAGTCGTGCTCGGCATGGGAGCATGTGGAGGTGCCGGGAGACATCGGCCCAAACGAGCGAGACCTCATCGCCTCCCACTGATCAATCCGACCTGGTGGAGCGACATCGTTTCGTAGACGATCCTGGAATTCGACCGCAACGTTCAGAGCTGATTCCCGGATAATGTGCGACTGGACGTCCTATGAACAAGACACCCGTTGTGGGGTCTTATCCGCAGCAAGACACCTTACTTTGTGTGTGTTGCATTCGTTGTCTAGGCCAGCTGCAATTGCAAGGTTCGGGCAAACTTGCATGACCCCCTTGCTGTAATTATTTGTTGTACTCATATGATGGATGTGTATATATAATATAAACAATATATATATATATATTATAAATGTATGTTTGAATTCTTCGTAATTTTCCTTCAAAACGCAAAGTCTAATTAGCGTCCTTCAACATCCTCCATTTTTCGACTAGTTCCTTGATCTTCACTAAGTCTCCCTAGACTTTCACTAAACCCTTAATCTGTTAAAGAGTCACTCATTTTTCACTATCATCTTAAATTTCCACTAGAATGAGCGTCCACCAACATGCTCAAGCTTCACAAAATCAAACTAAACACGGTTCCTTTTTCCGCCTACCACTCGGCCTTGGCAATACATTCATGGTGATTCCCTGATTCAGCATTTTTCCTTCATTTCCTTCATTCAGCCTCAACCCGTTCAACCCGTGTGATGCACAAATCGCCCAACGAGGCGCCCAACGCGGGCCAGCTGCGGCAGAGGTTAAGGGAACTCGAGGAGACGCGGGGCTCCTCAGGGGAAGAGGGAGCCAAGCCATGCAAAGGGAAGTGCCGACAACACGGGATATGCATCATTACAAACAATTACAAGACTATATACAGTATATCTATATAATGTATATATATATATATATCTATATAATGTGTATATATATATATAATATATCTATATAATGTATATATATATATTTATGTATATATGCATACGTATGTATGTACGTTACACAAACACGTGGCCGATGCAAATCGCCTGGGAGGTGGGTGTTTCGTTCCTTTTCAATGCCTGACCCGGCCACCTTTTTTTTCAGGGACCCCCACGGACGCCAAGTGATGGGACCGCACGGACGACTCGGCCCCGCTCCTTGGGACGCAGTCC